TTTATTTAAAATGGAGAACTGCATTGAAACAGTTTTCATTTCATATAATATTAATTTTTATTACGAAACAAATTTGAAATAATTTGAAACAAATTTGAAATGGTTCACTGTTCAGTCCCTCAAATCTATTTCCAATGGGGACCGAATAACGATATTGGGTTAAACTGTCTATGTTGTTTTGATTGCAGGATAGACCTTTTTGTGTCGTTAACAGAGTTGATATCATCTTTAAATTTTGCTCTGCGGCATGTTGGCCTGTAGCGTTACCTTGTGGGGTGCCCAGGTTTTGCAATCTCATCGCGGTCTGTTAATTTGGTTGAGGTTCCATTGTTGTTTGGGTTGGTTGCGATTCCATTGATGTAACTTCGTCACTGGCTGTTGCCATTGCTTCTTAGTACAGCATCGATACATTTAAATCTTTCACAACTAATTCATAACGATATGAGATATCCGTTCGGTTCGGCAGCCGAGCGCGTAATGTGGGAAGAAGGTGATGATGGATGAGTGACTAATGATGGAGCAATCGTGAAATGAACGGTGGCAGTAGCCACGGGTTAATCTCCTGATAATTTGTCGCGAACCTACTTCATCCACCACAAGCGCAACTTGAAACGGACGAGGATCGAACTCCAACACCAGCAGTGGAAGACGCGGGCTGAGAGTTGTACCACAGGTTGCCGCGCTTGTCTGTTAATGCTTGTTATTTCTGGATAAAGGGTATTTATTTCTTCCGCGCGTCAATTAGTTTCCTCAGTAACCCTGTACGTACTGTACACGTTATAATCTGATGGAGAGATCCTGCGCCGACCTTTACGACTTGCTGGTTTTCCCGGCTTTAGATATCTCCCCAGAATGGATCTCCTCCTCTGCTGGTAAGTTCCAAGTTACCGAATGGTCTTTTAATGTTTCGTAGGGCATATGATTTTGTGTGCGTGCGTGCGCGCGCGCGCGCGTGGCTGTGTAAAGGAGAGGAGGAGTCATGAATGAGGAAGGAACAATTGTACGTGGTTGGTTAGAGTACTGCCCTGGTATTCGCCTGGAATTGACTGAAAATCTCAAGAACAGTTGAGAGCGGCCGCACGATAGATTGCTTCTCCAGACGCCTCTTGAATTCGACCAAGCTATGTAGCTAGACCAAAACCATCTGGTTTCGAATCCTAGGGTCTCTCGGTCAATGATGCTGTAGAGCAGGGGTGTCGAACCTGAAGGGACACATCGGTTGCGGGCCATATTTACAATACTCAGGCTACCCAAACCTGACGTTCCCATATTGTTGATCTGCTCTGAAATGGAGGGGGGAGTTGGAACCATGCTGTACTACGTATAACTCAGAGAAACACATTGTAATGATGTTGAATTTATGAATTTACTCTGAAAAATACTTTAAATCTAAACTTAACTATTTTTACATTAAAGGGGTGTTGATCCCGACAGAGCGCGTGCTCCAAGAGCGCAATGTTCTCGGCCGGCAAGGATGCAAAGAGACTTACTTTTTACTAATAACCTTGCGGGCCTCAATAAATGGCACGGCGGTCCGCGGGCCGCCAGATGTACAATCTTTTTTAAAACTATTTATTTGTTGAGTATAAATCATCCAGTCATTCGGTTCTACGGATGATTGATGTATTCTAAGCTTAGAAAGAGAAAGAGTGGGAAACTTGTCGAGCAACGCCAGGCAATAACTGGGAGATGATATGAATTGCTGAAGCTATTTCTTTTTAATCAAATGTAGAAGCACAGTTTAGGTATGAATTGAGTATCTGTTTTTTCTTATTCTCAGGAAGGGAGCACTGAGGTTGCACCGATTTTGTAAATGGATGGTATTAGACAGTCCTGCGGTAGAGAAATTGGTGTTGCCACCAAACATTTGGGATAAAAACTTAACGAGTTACTTTGAGTGAGAATCCTTGAAATAAGAGGCCTCAGGCGGCCAACCGCGTCGTTTTCCCCGCGCTGCGGCAGTGCGCGGGTGGCTGCAACCTCGTGCGCTGCCGGATAAGGAAAGCGAAGTTCATCTCCTCGCAGGCCTCGGGTCCCCCGATATCACCCAAGGCGCGCTTTGTTGCCTGCAGTACACTTCTGTATCGGATCAATGACTCATTGTACGCAAGAGAACAAGGGCTGACTTCGGAGCTTTTCGACCAACGATACTCAAATAATTTGTAGTTTTTCAGTAAAAATCGGAACGAGATGCAATGATTCCACATTTTTCGACGATTGTGAATTAAATTTGAATAATATGTGAATTTGAAAATATAAAATAATGAACCACACCGTTCAGGAAAATTGAAGAATAATGAAAGCAAGAGTCCTATAAGTCCTTAGGAAGGCCCAATGAAGGAATAAAACTAATGCATGTAAAAATGTAATTGTTTTCATTGAAATATTGCTGGGGGATGTGGCTCAGGGCATCAACTGATGTCACTGCCCTTCCACCGGGAGGTCCTAGGTTCAAGTCCCGATGGTGGCAAGATTTTCGGCGCTCTCTTTTCAGCCAGGTCGAATTCAGTCGCTGTCTGGAAGATAATTCTTTCGGCCGGCTGCTCTAATGGGTAGTTTTCCGTGGATTCTCCGATGAACACCAGGCGAATGCCTGAGCAGTACCCTTGCAAACGGGCCGCGGACCGCGCGCAATATTTCCTACCTCTTCCTTGTCCTACTTTTTCCTCTTGCACACACATTTACACTAACACGCACTACACAAGCACACATGCCGGGAGACAGAATTGTCCCGGCCGGGGTGGTGCTCCGCGGTGATTCATGATTGGGGAGAACCACGCTAGCCGACAGTAGGTCAGCACCGGATTTCGCCATACGGCTAGGGAAAGGCCACCGCCATCTCTCGAGCAAAACATCTACTACACTTACGGGACTAATGACCCTTGCTGTTGACGTGCCCGGAATCACTAAATTAAACAATCATTAAACTGTTTACCAAGACATACCCCATTAGCTTTGAAAACAAATAAAAAAACAGAATTCTGGAGCTACCCGAGATTTATTAAAATATGCCTCAAATTGGTACTATTTCATCGCAAAGGTCTTTCGAACTAAAACGATTCCTACTACTTTACAAACGCAAGAAACATTTCCAAATTCAGCAGAGTTTCTTACAAAACGTTTTCGCGATGGCTATACTGAATACTCAGTTATAAAAACAGAATGGGCGTCCTTTTGTCATTTCCCTGTTAGATGGCTGAGCAAGTGTACTTAACTGAAAATAGTTTTGTGACTGGTAAATTATTCTGATGGCTACACAATCTCTACGGTATTGATAAATGGATATCATAGTTTGCGTTTGCTTCATCAGAAGATTATGCTAATTAATGAAGATACTCCGTTTATTACGACAATATTGCCCATGCCACTTCTGCCTATGGTTAGATTCAGTACCGTAGTAGCTTTCGAGGTGGAGGGAAGAGTGAACTTTTGACGGAAACATCGGGACTTTACTGATGCATCCCTTTGCCCCAGTTGCCCACATGCCCCAGTTGCAAAATTAACATTCCTCTATATGGGATAGAAATTCTTGATTATATTTATTTACTATGTTTAGTAAAGAGTGCAACTAAAATTCATAAATTTGAAACAGCTCAAATATAATTACGAACTACTCATTCAACGAAATGATTTCACTTAATAATTCCGGAATGATTTTAGTATCTCTCTCTGGCTAAGTGCTTGCTCCTTGTGGTTTGTCAGCATAGCGTGCCCTGCGTGTTAGCTAGAGGTTTGAACACTGCGATTTCAGCGTAATGCATAAAGCATGCGGCACCGCTGAACTCAGCTATTATCACAGTACCCCTTTTGTCCACTGCTGCCAACTCTGCGCAAGGATTCATCTTCACAACCACAACCTGCCCCTTCGCACCCCTTTGCACCGTTTGCCTCCGAGGCGTCGCCCTCGATGTGCGCTTGTGTACGTTCAGCTCTCACCGCGAATGTTCCTTCTCAGCTCATGGAAAAGCTCTTTCTCGCTTATGTGCACCCTCGCAAAATCTTACGAGATCCCTTCGAATTGAAGACTTTTTCATACTGGGGAGTTCAGGAAATAATCTAATTGTTAAAAGAATCCAAACAACTAGGACATCATGGGGTACTAGTTGTGCAAATGGATGCTGAAGTGAAAGCGTTGTTAACTTAGTGAAGGAACGTTAACTTTGTAGTTTTGGTTCAAAATTATTCTGATGATATCCTGATAGAACTAATATAGATCTTATACCTTAAAACTATTGAGTTATTACAAATATGTTTATTTTTTCTGTTCTTGTTCTCTTATCGCTCGTCCACCTTATATTATGAGAATTTTCACTCCTAGGTTCTGGTATCAGCTGATATAAATGTTGGCGGTAATAAAATGATTCTGTTTGAGGAAAATATGTTTTTGCAAAGTTTCGCATTGTTTTTAGCTTTTGTTTTCATAATTCAAATTGAGTATAATTATCAACATTTATGAAAAATTACTCATTATTGTTCCGTGAAAAATAAGCGACTCATGTCTTGATAAAAATGCGTAGAGCTAAGAAATGCTGTAAAGACAAAATATTGTCCATCACATTTTAGTAATTCCTTTAAAAATATATACGTTAGCTATTCCTTTAGATAACACACATTAGTTATTCCTCTAAATAACACACATTAGTGAGTAAACATAAAATTGCTGACAATTTAACTTAAACCGTGAATTACATACACAAAAAAAAGCCATTTAACGCAAACCTGTAGGTTCACAAACTACTGGAAACGAGTGAGACTTATGCTAGGTAGAATGTGAAGGAATATCACATGAAAAGCAAAAAAGCGTGAAGGGATTAAAACTATTTTAAAAAAATTATTTTATTTGAAAATATTTGCTAATAATAAACAAAAGTGAGTTGAATAATTAAAAAAATAATTATAAACAAATATGTGTAAATTGATTAAAATTTAAAACTCAAAATTCTAAGATGTGTAACTTCATACTCAACAAATCTCGTGTTTAGAGACTTCGTTTTCACCAAATGCCTGCCCTGATAGTGGAACGTATTTTAAATTCTCGAATACGTATGTGTTAATGATTGCTGTATCATTTTGTTGCATTTATTAATATTTATTTCTGCTTTGACGTTTATTTCTTTGATTGGTATTTATTTCGCCTTTTTGTTGAATGTTCTAATTTACAGACGAGTCTTGCTACTTATCAAATTAGTTTTCGCATCTAGACAGCTATTAAACCACCTGATATAATGATGTCAAATTGCCTTCTTGAATGATAGTGGTGAGTGATTAATGTTTGCACTTCCTATGGCGGTTATAGATAATTCTTTAACTAATGAATGTAGCTATTATACAATATGAAAGCGTTTGTCGCTCTCACTGTATTTCTGGATTAATTATTCGCAACAAAATACAAAAAATTAATGAGCAAAAGAAAATAATTTATCATAGTAGTAACATATTGACTTTTGTTCATTGAAAAAGTATTTGTTTCCTTACAGTGTATCTACCATAGTAAAAATACTGTGGACTAAATATTACAAAGAACATGTTTTGGTCACATGTGCATGGATTACATATTAATGAAACGTTTGTTAATGTATATCTAAAGAACATTCAATCATAATAACATTTATTCTAAATTTAATTGATACTAGCAATTTGCTTTAGGTTGTGGTTGTATCGCGGCGTATATGAGTGCATTATTTTTTAGAAGTATTAGCCTTATATAAGTTTTAAGACATAATAATGACAAAAGTAAATGATATCTTGCACGTTATTTTATTACTTAAAATTTGAGGGATCCGACCTTCCTTGGTGGAGAATTTTGAATTAATTGATTCTCAGGTCACAAAAATTAAACTACTGCATTTTTCATCTCAGGTGAGGACATTGATCAATCACGTTTTGTGATTGTAACTTGAGAGTAAATTCTGATTTATCACATTGTCAAGTTTTATTCTTTTCTAAATTTCTGTATTATCTCATCATGCAATATCTCGATATTTGGTATTTAAGACATTTCTGTGACACTAATTTCTTTCATGGTTGTCGCCAAAAGGCATTATGCCTTAGTTGTCTGGAAGATAAAGATGTCTGGAGAATCGCATGTTACATACTTTCTCAACATGCGATGGTTGACGAAGCATACATGCATACGTTGGGTAGTATCCACGCTAGAGAGTTGACTTCGTGAATATTTAGTCATTAACACTAGCACAATTTTTTTAATTTTCTTTGATTTTATGATGCTTCAATGTATTAATTCGTACAAACAATTTTTGTAACCATTAAAACATTAAAATTTACATTTAGAGAGGTTTTGACAATCTCATTCAGTGTATTGCAGTTCATTGTAGCAGTGTATTCAGTGTGTTGCAGTGTATTTCATTGTGTTGCAGTTGAGATTGATTGCAGTTGCTATTGATAAAAAATGATCCTAGGAAGTTTTTCAGACCTTTGATTAAAAGATATTTACTCTAAAAATGCTAAACATATATAGTATACTAACATTATTGACGCATTAGATCTTAATTCATTTATGAGTTGTATAAAATTAGTGAATTGCGAAATCCTTTCTAAACAAAAAGAATTCTGTTTCAGTGGTGCTCACCTTCATCAACTGCTGGGACGTGAAATGGGCTACAAGAGTACAAGATGTCTTCACCTATGCAAAATTGCTGGCCCTCTTCATTATTATCGCCGCCGGAGCAGTGCAGTTGTGCAAAGGTAAAGTAATCTAAATCAATACGAAGCGATGAGCGGATATCACTCTACAACACCTCAGTTCTTTTAGCACATTTGTTGAGGATACTTATTACTAAGGGTTCACAAGAGGGGTGAGGTGAAGGGTCTTACCGTTTAGACAAGGGGTTCCTACCTTTTTCTTGCTTCGATCCCTTTCTTGTTTGTTTGCTTGGTTGCTTCATTTTTTTTCTAATATACAGCATTCAAAATTATCATAATACAAATAACTGCACATAACACATTTAAAGATAAAGAATTTACTAAAATGAGAAAGGTGTGCAAAAATGGTCATATTATTTAAATTTATTTTCGTACTATTACAATTTTTGAAGTAATATAAAACGTTTTCAAAATCAAAACCTCAAGCTATAATTGCGCCAAAATTTTATTTTATGAATGGGAATGATGTGAAATTTCAAAATGAGCGAATTTGTAATTACATGTTTTGTAGATATTTTTAAGAAAAAGGTATAATAAAATCCATATATGTTTTTGTTGCCAGTGGGATCTTGATCTTTATTATAGCGATAAGTCGTCGTTGATATTTGGATATCAACTCTTTGATCATCATAGTTCCCTTTAAAAGTATCATCAACCCTGGGGGGTCGATACCGGCCCCGATGTGAACCCCTGATTTAGACCTGTCTTATCCTGATAGGTGACCACACTAATAGTTTGCCCTTGCCTTCCTCAGTGTAGAGATAGTTAATTTTGAGGAGTGAAATATTACTGAAGAATTATTAGGTTCTTAAGGCCTTTTTACACGGTAGAGTTTTCGTGCAGATTCACATAAAGAGACTTCAAGAACCCGAACTAGAAGAATAAAAAGCCAAAACTCGTTTTTACAATGCACGTTTTCTATATGAATTGCCGAATCGCGCTGACCGATTTCATCCATTCCCGGCGTTTGGGTACGTGCGTTCTAAGTTATTTAATTAATACCTTTTAAGTATTAATGAAACTTAGAGAGGAAAAAACAGAAAGGTCGTCATCGTTGTCGCTAGTCTTCAGTGAGTGTATAAAATATTATCTGTATGGATGAAGTCTTGGCTACAGAAGCGAGCTTCTTTAACCTCATATTTTTACGTCGAAGTAAAATAAATTCCCCAGAAAAGCCGAGAACTCGAACCCACCACGCTTATACATAAAATCTCACGAATCGCCCCTAACCTTACCAAATAGGTGCACTCTCTCCGCCGTAAACAGTGAACGATGCTACAATTAGATGCACTTGAGCCAAACTGTAAGATTTCTATATGAAAAAATCAAACCTTTTCAAAAGGTTTCATACAGAAACATGCAGCCTGAACTGCATAGTTTCTGAACGTCCAATCTACACCAAAACTGTACAGCTTAAAAGGGCCTTCATACACTGCGTTTCTATGTGGTCTAGAACTCTCTTGGTCCAATCCTCCCTGCGCTGACGAAGCACTTCTCGTGAAGAACTAAGTTTACCCATAGGAACACTATCTTCGTATCAAACGAAGCATTTTGTTTTCAAAAGTGTCATTATATGTCGATACCTACATCTGTTTGTATATTAGTGAGGAAGAAATCTAGAGATAGTAAGATGATGCAAAACAATTCTAGTGAAGTATGGTTAATTAGTAGTTAGATGTCACAAATAGTTGTTTTTTATTGTTGGAAATCGGCATGGTATTAAACAAATCAAAGAACAAAACTATCACGATCATTTTCAAATACATAGGGAAGTACCACACGCTTTCATTATGTGTAGATACCTATATCAATTTGTGCAGTGAAGAATGAATGAAGGGCTAATACGGTTATTGAAATCAATTCTATTGGATATGGTTAATTAGTAATTAGATATCAAATTTTTTTAATGAAAACAAGAATGGAAATTCATGGAAAAATAGTTCAAAGAGCAAAACCATAGTACGTGATAACTGTCAAAGTTACAATGAAACTGCGTAGGAACTGAACAACTGTCGTACACGTCTTGCTAATACAACTAGATAGAAATATTGAGTTGAAAAAATGATGAAAAAATTTCCGTGTTCCAAAAAAGGAAATTTACTTATTTTCTTACAGCTTAGAAATTTTTAGGTTTTGTTTTGCGGATTCTGAATATCAGTGCCAGGGGTGCTAAAGAATTGGCATATACATTGTATATATTATTAGCGCGGCAAGTATTAGAATATGGCGTGATGTTTTGGCATCCATTCAGAATTTAGCGGTAAGGTTAATCAGGAAAGGTCCAGCGCAGATCATAAAAAGTCCTGTCAAGATTAAAAAAAGCAACTCCTATGCTATGTACAGTTATCTCATATTGTTTTATCGCATAACGGCAAACGTATTATAAATGAAGTGAAAAAGACAATTTTAAAAAGAGGTTATTAAAAGACGAATGAATAATAATATTTTATATGGTCTTATAAAACATCAAAACTTATGCGTTGTTTCTTTAGTCTTGTGTCAAGGCCCTGCGATCTAACTGAATGCTCCGAAGTGCATCGGCGCGCAGCACCGGTGGGCCAACCCGTCGGTGGGCCAACCGTAGGGTGCGTTGGGCTCGTAAAAGGCGGCCGCAGGAAGCGGGCCCAAGGCGTTTCGCCTCGCCCTATCGTGGCACTCGCTTCGTTGAAGTTAAGGGAGATTAATTCTCTTGCCCCTCCCGACACTTTTAGTTTTAGTTTTAGAAAGGCAAACCGTCTGCTGCCCTCCTGGGCCTCATGTCAATTTTAGTCTTCTCCAACTGCCACTGCAACAGTTCATACTGTCTATGGTACCCCATTGCAGTTTCGTTTTTTAACTTTGAATTTACTCTTAATGTGAACTTGTCTGCTCTGTACCTCTTATGCATCCCTGGCATATCAATGTTTATATGTGATAGTGAAATATTTTTTTATAAAAAGTCTTAATTCGACCTCTTCTCTTCTTTGTGCTTTTATTGTCACTGTCAAACATTGTTAATGAAGGAATTTGGAATATATTCCACAGCTCGACTCGATTGTTTTCTATTACGTTAAATTCAATTTTGACCAAAAAATGCAAATATTTTGTATTATTCCGTCTATTTTCATACTACACATACTGACTGAATTCTCATTCTCATTGCGTTACTGCTTACGACACAGCTGACTTCATTAGACAGGAGGGTTCCAAGTAAGAAACAACATTGCATTAAATGTGCGCTATTCATTTGTTGCATTATGGAATAACTACTTCGGATGTGAACAAAAACTGTTGTACCGTACGGAATTCTAGATTCTTGCAACATTCACGAAGATTGTTTTGTCAATAAAATATTTAATTTATTCGATTTTATATCATTATCATTTTACTATTTTTGCTACTTCAGACTGTTAGTGATACATTCTTATTTGTCTGAGAGGATAGAAATCCAAAGAGTGTCACTACAAACAACTCAAAGGTATTAAGCAAATGACGATTGTGTAACGAAATTTTCGGAAAGGAACAAAAATTGACGCAGAGTTGCAAGTGTGCAAATTCCTGAAAAATAAGAGGAATAGCCTGGATTAGTGAAGAAATATTTTGCTTGTGTGACAAACGTTTTGTTGTCTTTGAATCATGCCCAACAATGCGACCTCTCATTTTCGGGCGTAATATCCGTGTTTAAGCTGTTTTGAGTGGACACTTCGAACACATATCAGGTGTAAGATCTTTTAGGGCCATTACAAAGAAGGTTAAGATTGATGATAAGATTGATTGTCAGGAGATGTATGGAATTTTATACCCGAATATCAAAATGGATGTATTATTACAAATATACGCATTGCTGAAAATAGATGCCCCACTTGGGTAAGTCCATTTTGACAAAATTCGCGGATTCATCAATTAAGAGGCACGACATACTGCAGCACATTTTCCACTGAAATTCTATATTCATTATAACCTCCCCCCCCCATCGTGTACCCTCTTTAATTTCTCTCTTCCTGTCATTTCCTCTTTCACTATCTGCCTGCGTAGAGGTCTCTCCTGAGAATCAATTACGCGGCGATCCGCGTGGATTGAAGAGCTCTTCTGCTCCACCAGCTCCATCGCTCGCTGCCACCGGCAGACTTCACCCTCCTCCTCATCTTCCACATAATTAGACTTGAAGGCGCAGGCCCACCCGCCCGCTACCGTCGACGCACGATGACTTCTTCCCCTCCGTTTCGTCGACTTCGTCTCCTTCATTACGTTGAGTGTGATTGCAAGAGCGGAGTATTGGTTCCAGGAAGATCCCGATTTTAATTGTTATGTGCAAGTTCTATTGATATTAAGTTTGGGAGTATCATTCCCTAGTGTTTAATACATAACTCTTGTCAATGTTGCACTTAATTCTACCCTTATTTTTTCTGTGTCGAACCAGCGATATCACAATTGTAATTGTAATTAAAACGAAAAGCTTTTGGAACAATAATTACATTTTATACAAATAGGTATTTTTTATTTTGTGTCATAATTATTACTAACCTCCCGGTTCGCAACTGCAACTTTCTTTCGAGAGAGAGTGAGAGACACCTCAATTGATCATTCCACAGAATTAACACGCATGAGTGAACTGACAGATGTTTTAACGCTTCAAAACTGTGTTATGAAATTTTGATACACTTCCTATTCTATTATTTTTAAAATCTTCTCTGTAGAGGCAGGATGAAGTATTGAGGAATTAAAATTGTTTTAAAATTGCCATAACCCAATTTCTGAACTTAACAGTTGCGTCTGTCTTTAAATCTCCTTTTTGAAAACCTTTACCACGTTTCTTGGTGACCAGGAATGCGGTAAACACTCATGTGTATGCCTGTTTGAAAAATTAAATATTGTATGGAAGGTTATTTCTTTTTATTTGTTAACTATGTGGTTTTATTTGGAGTTGTGTTTCATATAAGATCTCTGACCTATTTTTCATGAAATGTGTGCTCGCAACATTCAAATATGAATGTTAGAATTTGAACACATATATATGTCTTTGTATCTTCTAATAGTAATATTCAATAGAAGTTTTCTAAACAATTCCTGATTTTACTAGCTTTACATTGGATTTTAGAAAAGTTTATGTTTATTTACGTAATATTGTAGACTGTCAATGTGAAATTAGTATCCACAATATAGGCTCGTGTCAAACGATACAATAGTGAACCAGTTTCGTATCAAGCATTATGTTTTTAAATTTCGGAATGGTCTTTAGACCCATTTCCCCAGCCACGCCGTTACCGCCCGATGTATTTGTTCTTTGGCAACGGCCGCGGAGGGACGCTTATCGTAGCGCCTACGCGTCGTTTCTGCTCGAGCAACTCTCGCTGCTGTGGAGCAAAATCGTCTTATCGTGTTCCGGCGTCTTCGCACCCGCGTCTCAGAGCTCGAGATTATTGCGTCATTCCCGATCTGGCAAAGCCAACAGGGTCGAAAAGTTTCCGCTCTCGCCAAATTTTGTCCTAGAAACCTAAATTGCCTATCTGACAGGGAGAGAAAGAACACTTCTCTTTAAGCTTTGAATTTTACTAGAGTAAAATTAAATTTTTAGGCATTTTTGAAACAAAAATTCTATGCAATTTACTGAAGTGAATATAAATTTTGAGTATTGGGTGTTTTGGATTTTGACACATTGACGTGCGCTACACTACAGCACACGTGGAGTGTCTAGTCGCGATCTTCTACTCCGATTTAAATGTTGTGACCTTTCAAGGTTACGAGTTGGAAGGAGAAGAGGGGGGTCCTGTTATCGAATCGAATTAGGAACCTGTTACCGACTAAATTTTTGATATTGAAGCTCCTGATTGGATGGCATGTCCCCATCCGTCCTGTCGGTCTCCTTCGAGCTCGTGACCTTAAGGGACACTACATTTAAAACGGCGTATAGAACTTGCCCCGATTGGATTTGCTCGCATAACTTTCAATGTTTGTTGTTAGCGTTCTCGACCCTGCACGAGTGTACAAGTCAATGTACAGTGGCTCGGCTTCTCACTGCTCTGCCTTGGCACTGTCGATGTCTCTCATGAGATCAGGGCAACCGGAAAGAGGTTTCCCAGAGAGAGGTTCGTTTTTGCAGTTTTAGAGAACGGGTGGAAGATGAAAAGTACAATAAGATCACTCTACCGCTGTATGAGCATTTATGTCCAAATATGCAAACACAAACTAAAGGTGCAAAAACAGATTTCATTAAGGGAAATCTTTATCTTTAATATTTTAGTTCTGGGAAAATACTGAACAAATTTTAACTTGTCCAGTTAAAAAAAATTCAACGGAATTAAGCCTGTGCTATTCTCCTCAATGTCCTTCATACTATCCAACAAAATTTAATCAAAGTCAATCGAGCCATTTTTTAAAAATTGGAAAATATCTGTGGAGCACAGACACACACAGGCACAGGCACACAGACCACATAGACACACAGTCCACATAGACACACACAGACAGACACACAACTAGACACACAGACAGACACACAACTAGACACACATACAGACACACAACCAGCCATACAGACAGTCACACAGACGTACAGATACACAGACAGGCACACAGACGTACAGATACACAGACAGGCACACAGACGTACAGGCACACAGACGTACAGACACACAGACGTACAGGCACACAGACGTACAGACACACAGACGTACAGACACACAGAAGTACAGACACACAGACGTACAGACACACAACCTGTGTGGTTGCCGTTTTTTTTGTAGAATAGCGCCACGGGACCTCCGCCTGTCGTAAAAGGCGACTAAAAGGAGCAGCTGT